AATGACAGGCTACGTACGGGCCTCTGCCTGCTTTGCAGGGACCGCTGACGTTCACTGTGATGGGGGGGCAGGGGGCGCCGGGCTGCAGCCCTCCTCTGGGTCCCAGGGTCAGGGACCTGCGCCCCCCACCCGCGGCCCTGTGCTGAGCTGCACCGGGATCTGAAGCCACTGTCCTTGGCTGGAGGGAGAAGGTTTCCTGGGGACAGGCAAGTTCTCAAGAGAAAGAAAAACACAGGGACTGCTTGGGAAGTAATTAGACCCGGCTGGAGGCCCCTGGGGCTTCAATGCCTGGCTTTCGTGGGGGGCAGGGCTGGGAGTGGGTGCTGGGGGCCGTGGGGGCCCTGCACCCTGTCCCTGGAGGACACCCCCTATCCCCTGCTCATTCACTCGTCACTCATCCTCTTGTTGCTCCCTGCTGTGGGTCAGGGGCTCCCGGGCCAGGGGACAGATGGAGCAGCGGCCGTGGGGCCCCGAGGGGAGAGGCGGACCCCTGAGCCTGCTGAGTCAGAGCAGGCTCCTGAGAGGAAGTGTGTTGGCCTGGCCCTTGAGGGGCGGGGGGAGGGGTCACGGCAGGGGGACGTTCAGGAGCGTGTGCTTAGACAGGGGGCGGTGGCAGCAGGTGGAGGTGCAGCTCTGCATGGGACGTAGACCCCCGGGGGCTTGAGGGCGCGGCTGAGAAGGGGCCGTCTGGTCTGCACGCTGTGGCCAGTGTCACGGGCGGACGGGCACGGCCTGGGACCTCGCGGTCATGTGTGGGCGGCCCTTCCGTGCGCAGCCGTAGCTAACCGCTGGGTGGCACGAGTCTTCTGGCTGCACGGCGCAGTGGGCGAAGGGGCAGGGCCCTGGGACCTGGTGCCTCGTGCGGGGGGCGGGCGGGCCGGTGTGCACCGTTCCCGGGCCGAGCTCCGCGCACCCCTGGGGGCCGGCCCTGCTGTGGCCCTGGTCGCCGGCGGCCCCGGGTGGTGCAGAGCACGCCTGCGCAGCAGCCCCAGGGGGCCTGCGGGGACGCGGGCCTCGGTTTCCCCACCCGCCCACGGCAGTCATGACTGCCTGGAGCCGGCGCGTGGCAAGTCCCCTTCAGGGCCGGCGCTGCCGCCCGCCCGCCTGGAAGCCCGGCCCTGCGGGGCCGTGGCAGGTGGGGCCCGAGCCCCATGTCTCTCGCGCCTTCTTGGCTGCGCCCTTACTTTCCCGGGAGGCACCTCAGGACACCTGGCCTGGTGGCTTTTCTGTGACAAGTTCCTCCCGACTGAACTGTCCAAGGCCTGTGGGTTAGTTTATTTTTGAAAAAGAAAAAAAGAAAAAAAGACTGAACAGCTGAGTCTGGTCGAGACGGACTGTTGACTTCAGAACTTTGGCTCGAGGACAGGGTGGGGTAGGGGTTGTCCAAGCCCCCACGTAAACAAACAGTCTGCCTCCCGGCCGCGGGGCCACGGTTTTCATGTGGGAAGTGGCGGTGGGAACCGAGCCCTCCCTCCCCACTGATTCAGGGGTGATTCATCCGTGTGGGGGAGGAGGACCAGGAACCAGGCCCTCCCCCCAGCCTCTGCCCCGCACCCCTCCCCCGCCATCATCAGCTTAAAGGGACAGGGCCTGGCCGAGTCCCTGTCACCGGCCTGCTGACCCGGGAGCCCAAAGGGGCGCTCCAGGTCCTGGGGTCTGGGAGGGCGCAGGCTGTAGCCGCTGGGACCCTGGGCCAGTGCCAGGCCCACCCCCACCCCCACCCAGCTTCTCCTCCAGCCTCAGTTTCCTGGGATGGAACTCGGGCCACGATGCTGCGCTTGGGAGGCCGCCCCTGCAAGACCGGCGCAGTGGGCCGGCGCCGGCTCTGCCGCGGTGCTTGTGCCTGCGCGTGCTGGTCGGAGGGGCCCGGGCTGCGGGCTGCTGCCCCCACTCCCACCCTCCGGCTGCGCGGGTGCTGGTCCCCCGGGAAGGAGCCGAGCCCCGGGTGGGAGGTGCACGCGCCAGCTTCTCCCAGCAGCTCCTGAAGCTGGGGCCACAGGGCCGGCCTTGTTGGCGTCGGCCCCAACCCAGTGCCCAGGCTTCCTCTCTCTCTCTCTTCAATTTTTTTGTGTATATCTGCGTGTATTCGCCTGTGGTAGGAAATTTGGAAGGTCCGTGAAAGACAGAATCACTCCTAACTCCTTTGTCCCCAAAGAGCCACCGTGAAATATTTTGATGTGTTTCCTGCCAGCCTTTTACTTCTGGGCATTTGACAGGGGACAATTTTTTTTTAAAGCCATCACACACGAAATTGAGCGTGGCCTGTTCTGAGTGGTCTCAGGAGAGACCACGTCAGAAGAACGGCGTTTGGCGGAGGCCACTGTGCTGCCCAGATCCCCGGGGCCAGGTCAGGGCCTCCGTGCCCGCGGCACTGCACGGACACCCTGGGCCTGCGGGACCTGGCCCGGGCCAGCTGGGGTGGACAGACGTGCCTAAGGGGCCTCCAGGCCCCATGGGGGAGCCGCCGAAAGCAGGCTAAGGCTGCGTGGGGACGTGGCCTTTTCTGATCAGACATGCGATTCCTTCGCGTCAGCCACATGGGTCAGGGCCAGCCGCATCCACCCGCAGCTGCCTTCATGCGTGATACTGGGTCTTTGCGTGTGCTGTTCCTCTGCCCGGTGCGCCATTCCAGGCCTGGGTCGGGGCGCCCCTGAGCTTCCCTCTGTCCATTCACTGGTCGCACTGTGCTGTGTGTAGCTGGTGACCGACCTGTACCAACACAAGGTGCACACCCGAAGGCACTGAGCACGCGTGGTGGAATATGCTGCACCCGAGAGCCAGTGCTATGGGGCAGGCATTGTGCAAGGAGCAGGAGAACCTGGTTCTGACTGGGGGGAGTCTGCTGGAGGGCTGCCTGGAGGAGGTGGGATTTGAACTGTGCCCAGGACAAGTTGGAGCATCTTGGTAGGGAGAAGTGGGGAGCGGTTCTTGCAGGTGGAGGCAGAATGGTGGGTGATAGAGCAGAAGCTCAGCTCAGCTCAGATAGACCAGGCCCAGCAGGGGGCACAGTGGGGAGGGGTGATGCCTGGCCTTGTGCACCTGGGACTGACCCCCCAGCACAGCAGCGGGGCATGAGCCTCGGGCTGGGGTCAGTCGAGCCTCGGTGTGTATGGGAGAGCTGCAGACCTTGCCAAATCCACCCCAGCCCTGCCAGCCTGGGTTTGGGGACCCCCAGGGCCCTGGCCATGGGGGTGGCCTGGTGGGGGCGTCGTGTTGGAGGCAGGCCTGGACAGGGGGCAGGGCCTGGCTGGGGCGCGAGCGTGGGCTCCCAGGGCCCTGGGCGGGGCGGACGGAGCTGGGCTGCCCGGTGGGCAGCCTCATTCCCGGCATGTCCAGGAGGATCGGCCGTCCCGCGTGGAGCGGCCGTGCCGCGCACCTGTGTGTGCTGGGAGCCCAGAGAGGGCCCTGCTGCTGGCTGCTTGTCAACATGCCCCTGACCTGAGACCCGGCCCCCCAGGGGTCTGCCTCCAGGGCGAAGGCTCCTGGGCACCGCGGCCCCTGGCCGCCGCCTTGGGACCGTGGGGGAGCGGGCGGTGGCCGGCAGCGGGCCCGCCTCCCAGCCAGGCTCTGGCCCCCCAGACAGGCGGCCTTTGATTCGGGCCGACAGATCCTCTGTGGTCAGGGCCCACGGGCCGCCCGAGGTAGACGTCGAAGGACCGGTGGCGTGGGCCCTCCTTCCCACCCCTGGCCACAGAGACCGGGGCCAGCGCCCCCGTGGGCCCTGAGTCCCGGGTCGTGCTCAGTGGACAGTTGGGGCCTCGGGGGCACGGGGTGGGAGGGTGAGGGCCCCCGAGGAAGGGAGCCTGGTTCTCCTCTCACTGCGTGTGTCTTCGGGCAGAAGGGTTCCTCTCCCTGGGCCTCACTTCCCCCACTTCGAAGACAAACAGGCAGGACAGTAGTCGGGATGCGGGGCAGGACGGCACTGGCCGTTCTGGGCACGAGGGTGGCCTGGCCAGCGCCCGCGGCTGCACTCAGTAGCACCTCCCGCCCTTCCGACAACCCGGAGAGCCGGGCTTTCTCTCAGCCCCGACACCCGGTCACCGCCAGGGGTCGTCAGGAGAGGCCGCAGCTGCCCCACAGGGTTTGACGGGCCGGGCCCGCTTTGCCCGCCGACACCAGGGTGGCAGGGTGCCTGGTGGCATCCCCAGCGGGGAGCTTCACACAGTGCTAGTCACACTTACCCCAGTTCCCACACAGTCAAAGCCCAGGGAGGGTGAATGACTTGCCTGGAGCCACACAGCTGGAAGGCGGCCCTGCCCAGCCAGGCCTGGGCCGAGGGGCTCACAGCCCAAGGCTCACCCAGGGCCCCGGGACGGCTGCTTGGGTCCAGGTAGTGCCTGTCTCCGGCAGGGACCTGTAGGACCCTGGCACAGCACGGACCTGAGCAGGGGAACTCGGGGGCTGGGCCCCGTGCCAACGACATGCCTCCAGCCTGTGGTCCCAGCAGACAGCGGCCCTGCTGCTGATGGCAGCAGAAATCTGAGCCAGGGAAGGTTCCAGAGAAGTCTGTGAACAGCCTGGCAAAATCAGCTCTGGTGGGGCAAGTGAAGTACAAAAGGGACCCCCACGACGGCCGGCCAGGGTAGCCCGGAGGGGGACCCCGCGGCCTGGGGGGTGGCTGGAGCCAGCGCGCGGCGGGGCCGTGTCCTCGTGCCAGGGCGCTGCTGTGTCTGACGGAAGCACTGGGGCCCGGGGACCAGCCCCGGTCCAGCCTGAGCATGTGTCCCTGCTGTGCCGCCCAGACCGAGTGTTCTGACCTCTCTGAACCTCCTGTCTGGCTGGGCAGTCCCCAGGGGGGCGATGTGGGAAAGCTCAGCATGAACAGTTCTCGGGGTGAGAAAGCCCGTCCAGCATCTGGGGGTCACTGTGCTGCTGAGTGGGGGGTGTCCCCGAAGGGCTGTGAACTGCCGGGGGTCTCAAGGGGAGCTCCCCCTGCCCCAGGTGGGTTCAGGGCTGCACCTGGGGCTCACTAAGGCACTGGGTTCTTCCTGCCAGTGCAGGTCTCCACAAGCTGAACAGCCCGCGTTACAAGTTCAACTTCATCGCTGACGTGGTGGAGAAGATCGCGCCGGCCGTGGTCCACATCGAGCTCTTCCTGAGGTGCGTGGAGTCCCCTCCCCGCTCCGCGGCGTCCCCGCCATCGGCCGGGGCCCAGACGAGGCTCCATGCCAGCGCTGGGGGCCGTGGGAGCCAGACTGGGCTGGGGCAGGTGCACCCCAGCTGCTGTGGGCCCCGTGGGAGGGAGCCCCGTCTCTGACTCTGAGCCCCTCACCCAGGGACGTGGGCAGCGACATCGCCCCCCGCGGAGCTGGAGGTGCCAGGCCGGTGCTCAGTGGGTGGTAGCTGAGGATCCTTTCATTCATTCATTCATTCAACCAGCTTTATCTAGCAGCTATTACGCGTTTACATTCCAGAGGGGCCGTGGAGTAAAGCCGAACGAATGAGCACTGTCCCCGCCCCCTGCACAGGGTCCCCTGCTCGCTGGGCTCCAGTGTGCCCCATGGCCGTGGAGGGCAGGCACGGCGCCCGCTGCCAGCGATGCTCCCCGGGGGCAAGCGGATGAGAGGCAGGGGCCCAGCCCTGTCAGAACAGCAGTCCCCATGGTCACCTCCTGCGTGCCCCCCACCACCGTGGCTGCTTGCCCACATTTCTCAAACAGCCCTGGGCGGGGCCGCCCATTAGATGAGAGAGAGCAGGCACCCTTGGGACTCACCCCGAGGGCCGGGCCGAGGCACCCCCCCGCCCCCGCCGCCGTGCCGGCACCCGAAGGCCCTTCCACTCCCCCACCCACCGCAACTTCCCGAGCCCCCGAGGCAGGCTGCCGCGCCTGCATTTGCTGCCTGTGGGAGCAGGGCCTGGCTGCCCCAGCTCGCACCGCTGCTGAGTGCTAAGGGGGTGCGACCCGGCTTCCTGGGCTTCAGAGCCGGCCCTGCCCCCTGCCCCACTCGGAGCCCCCGCTGGCCTTTCTGTGGGTCCCAGACCCTGAGACGTGTCATTGCGGAAATTACCACTGGACAGGCTAAGTGGCACTTGTGCTAAGTCCCTAGCCGTGCAGGTGGTTTGGACGGGGGCCGCGCTCGCCTCTGCAGAAGGCCCCGGGCACCGGCCTCGCGCCAGCTCACAGCTGACGGCAGCCCGGCGGGCGGCAGTGGTTCCGTGTCAGCCTTCGAGGCTGGTGTCCCGGGGGCGGGGCCGAGGGTGAGATCCCAGACACAGACGAGACAGATCCCGGACAGACACAGACAAGATGGTCACCGAGCAGGGGAAGCCTCGGCTGTGACCTTGACCCCGGGGGAGGCCGCCCCGGGCCGCCTCGGGCCCTTCCACAGACAAACACCAAATCCTGCGCACGTCAGCCAGGCAGGCAGGCAGGCACCGCGGGCAGGTTCTCCGGCGTGGCCCCCGCCCAGGGCCCGCACGGCGCTGGGCAGACACAGGCTGTGGTCACCTGAGGGAGGCCGAGGCCCCGGGATGCCAGGGCCACACCCCTGCCCTGCCCCCGCTGGCCTGGCCCGGCAAGTGGCGTGTCTCTGGGTCTCAGTTCCCCCTGTGGACCGGAGACCTGCCTGCCCGCCTTGCGGGGCACCTACCGTGAGCACTACCTGGCTTCCTCCCGGGTTCGCAGGGAATGTTTAATGACACTGCTGTCGTCACTAGTCCTGTCCAGCCCAGAGGCTCCCTGCCCTGCCACATCCCCCCTCCGTCCCCTTTCACGGTGCTAGGCCCATTTTCTCACTCTTTTCTGAAAAACCGCCGCATGTCCCGAGTCCCTGCTCCCTCCGGGCCGCTCAGGGGGCCCCCGAGGGCCCCGCCCTGGAGAAGGTCCTGCGCCCGTCCGGCACTCTGCCCCCCGCCCCCCGCCCTGGGACTGGGCTGTGACTGCTGCTCCGGGGGCTGGGCGCTGTCACCTGTCAGCGAGGACCGACCTCGAACTCCGCTCCAGGCTGCCCTCAGGGGCCTGCCCGGAGCAGAGCAGGGTCGTTGCCCCGTTTCCGGACGGGGAGGCGGAGGCTCTGGGAGGCAAAGCAACCCGCCCGCACTCAGGCAGATAAGCAGGGCTGGACCTGCGATTAGAATCTGGGCCTGTCTGGCTCCAGCTCCCTGTTATCAGAGCAGCAAGTGTCACCTGTGTCATCGCGCGTCTGACATTTAGGGCCTCTTGTCTCACCCGGCAAATTGCGGGTCCCAGATCCCTGCCCCTCCTGATGGTTGCCCAAGGGGACAGACTTAGTGACCTGGCCAAGGCCACGGCCGGGAAGCGGAAGAGTCAGGATTGGGGCTGGGGCCTGGGGTCCCCGGACTCACGTTCTCGCCCCCACGCCGGCTCGGCCGTCACTGTGCCCCTCCCACAGGCACCCGCTGTTCGGCCGCAACGTGCCGCTGTCCAGCGGCTCGGGCTTCATCCTGTCGGAGGCCGGCCTGATCCTCACCAACGCCCACGTGGTGTCCAGCAACAACGTCATCTCGGGCCGGCAGCAGCTCAAGGTGCAGCTCCAGAATGGGGACACCTACGAGGCCACCATCAAAGACATAGACAAGAGGTCGGACATCGCCACCATCAAGATCCACCCCAACGTGAGTGGGCGGCGGGGGTGGCAGGGCGGGTGGGGGACCCCTGGACTCCAGGTTGTGGAGGCCCGGCAGCCCGGCCTCCCCGGGGGCAGCTGGAGGAACTGAGGCCCCAGGGGCCGGCAGCCGGTCCCGCGCTGGGTCAGGCAGACGGGTGCCAGGCCGCTGCCCGCCGCTCACAGCCAGGCCGCGCAAGGGTCCTCCAAGGCCCGCAGCCACACTGTCCCTCTCGGGCCCACCCAGGGCCGCAGCCGTGCCGTGCGTGTGACGGAGGCGGGTGGGCAACCCTTGGGACATACGTCCTGTCCCTGCACCTCCCCCTTGGTCTCCCAGCTGCCGTGAAAAAGGCAGCAAGATCCCTGTGACCTTCTTATACAGCTTTCCATCTGGAAGGGTTTCCAGACCCACGAGAGCTGCCGAAGTGGGGCCGAGAGGGCCCCGTGGCCCCCGGCTCCCTGGGGGTGACATCGGACATAAGGGGCGTGACACCGGCCCCGGGAAATTGACGTGGCTGAGGGCGGCGGGGCTTCAGCCTGCGCCGGTTTCACGCGTGTGGGCGCATGCGCTTCAGCCCCCCGACAGGTGCGGAACACCTGCTCCGGGCCGCTCCCTGCCGCGGCAGAGCGCCTGGTCCCGTTTGGCAGAGGCAGAGGGAGAGCCAGGCTCCGCTGCCCCACCCAGAAAAAGGAGAGGATGCGTGGGCGTCAGTGGGTGGGGGGTTGCGGGGAGGCGGGGCTTGGTTAGGCCGCTTCCTCTCTCTGGGCCTCAGTGTCCCTGTGTGCAGATCCCGGGAGATAGGCAGAGCGGGGTCAAAGATTCCGAACTGGGGTTCCCAGGTCCCCCGCCAGGCCCCGGGGCTCCTGCAGATCTCTTGATCGCATGCTTCAGTTTGTGCGCGGTGCACTCTTGGCGGCTGGTGCGCATAGCGTCTATCAGATTTTCAGAGGGTCCTGTGACCAACCAATGGGCCTGATGGCCTCAGAGGATGTGCCCAGCTGGAGCCTCTGTGTGTCCTCCCGTGATGGGCCCTGCGGTCCACCCTGGGAGACCTGCCGTCACGGGCGGGACTGAACCTCTGCTCCGTGGGTGCCACCAGCCAGGGTCCCTCTTGCCCGCCGTGGGTCAGCGGGAGGCCCGCCCGGCCTTGATCTGTGTGGGCGACCTGCCTTGGCCTTCACCCTGATGGCTCTCCCCGGCTGCTCTGGGACTGCCCCGCGGGGGCCCGGCCGTGGTCTGGCTGTGGTCTGCGCCCAAGGCGCCCTGCTGAGCCTCCCTCCTGTGCCCCTCCCACCCCCAGAAAAAGCTCCCAGCGCTGCTGCTGGGCCGCTCAGCAGACCTGCGGCCGGGCGAGTTCGTGGTGGCCATCGGCAGCCCCTTCGCCCTGCAGAACACAGTGACCACGGGCATCGTCAGCACGGCCCAGCGGGACGGCAAGGAGCTGGGCCTCCGGGACTCGGACATGGACTACGTCCAGACGGACGCCATCATCAACGTGAGTCCTCTCGGCGGTCCACGGTCCCCAGGGCCCACCTCATCACTCGTGTCCATGTGCTGGGAAGTCCCGTGGTGCGGGTCTGCCCTTGGAGTTAGAGGCTCCTGCCCTGGCTGGGGACAGCCCTCCAGGATGTAGAGGCGCAGCCACGCCCCTGGATTGTCTTTGCCCAAATGACGCCCCCACCCCCGGCCAGCACGGTTTTATTGGCGGTGGTCTGCGAGGTGGTGCCCTTTGCACTCACAGAGCGCTCTGCGCAGATGCCCGGCAGCCGCCTCTCTGGGTCCGCCGCGGCTCGGGCTGTCCGCCGGAAGTGTCAGCCTTCGTCGGGGCCCCTTGAGGCCGCAGGATGAGAATCATGTCCCATCCTGGGGCTGGCCGTCCTGGCTGGGCCGCCAGGCGGTTTGTGGTCTGTGCGGAGAGCGCTGCCCGGGTCAGACCCGACGGTCAGCGCGCGCCGCCTGGCCTCCGCGGGCCTCGGCCCTCCCATCTGTGACGCGGCCTTTCCGTGCCACTGGGGGCGAACTCTGGCCGCGCCCCTGCGCCGTGGGAATGATGGAGGAAAAGCGCGGGGCGCGCCGGGTGGGGCTCGGGGCTCGGCTGACGCTGTGTTTCCCCCTTGCAGTACGGGAACTCCGGGGGACCGCTGGTGAACCTGGTGAGTGTCCCCCAGATCGGGCCTCAGGCCTCTGCTTTTCTGCTCACACGGGGTGGGGCAGCTTCGAGGCGGAAGTGACGGTTGGGGAAGCGGCCGGCCTGGAGGCCAGGAGGACGTGACCCGGCCGCGTGCTGCCCGGAGCCCCGGGGCCCCCCGGGAACGCGGTGGCCATTAGAGGAACCAGGGTGACCTGAGAGCAGCGGCCAAGCTGGGGCCACGTACCCACTGGGACCCAGGGCTGTGGAGACACCAGGTGGGGCTGGTCACCCCCTTGGACCTCCCGTCCTTTAGTTTACGTGCAAGATGAGGGACCACCTTCCTCCTCGCTCACACCCCTCGAGTCCCCGGCCCCAGGTCCATCCTGGGCCCACCCTGGAGGCAGCCTCGTTCTCATCCCAGGCGAGGTTTCCCCAATCAGCCCAGGAAGCTCGGTTCCTAGCTCCAGGGCCCCGGGAATTGTCACCGTGCCGTCCCCACCTGGGGAGCTCCCATTGTGGGGCAGGAGGGTGTCAGGCGTGGACACACCCAAGCGCGATGTGAGGGGCAGGGAGACAGCTCTGGACGGACGCCGGGCAGCGAGGCCTTGCAGCTGACGTGGGACCGGGAGGGCTTCCTGGAGGCGGGAACATCTAACCTGGGCTGTGGAGATGCAGGAGAAATAACCTGAGGAAGAGGGCATGGCATGGCCCCCGGGGGAGGGGGGTCCCAGGGGGGTCCAGCGCTGTTGCTGGAGAGGCAGAGCGGGAGGGGTCGGACGGTGGGGGAAGCTGGAGTCCCATGTCCCGACACGTCTGGAAGCTCACCCTGCACCCCAAGAAGCCCGGCAGGCCTTCGGCAGGGCGCATCCCACTGGCGTTCGACTGGACTTTCTGTGGGTGGACTTCCAGTGGGAGGCCAGGAGGTGGTGGGGATGGGCAGACAGGGCCAGTGAGAGACCCCTCCTTGAGAGCTCAGGGGACCAGGCAGATGACGTGTGCCTGGATGCGAAGTTTTGCCCCCAAGGGGGGCCCCTGGGGAGCTGGTTGGGAAGCCACCCCTGGGACGGGCAGGAACGTGGGCCCAGGGGTGCGTGTGCCAGGCTGTGGGGAGCAGCCTTCCCAGGAGCGTGTGGTCCCCGGCGGCCAGGACAGACCCGGCCCGCGGCACCAGCTGATGGGGGCAGGGCAGGGGCAGGGTGGGAAGCCAGCTCCAAACAGACGGAGGAGAGCGACGTGTGCTGCAGAGCCGCCCGGGCCCCGCTGGCCCCCACCCAGCTTCCTGAGGGAGGGACAGGGGAGGCCCCGGTCCCCAGTCCTCGTCACATCCCTCTCTTGGTTCCAGCCCTCAGAACACAGCCCGGGGGAGTCGGGGGTCAGTGGGAGGAAAGGAAGGGAGGCCCTCCAGCCAGGGAGGAGGGGTCAGGTGTGGAGGAAAGTGCTGGGAGGGCCGGGGTCCCTGACCCAGACGGCTCCGGGGCTGTCCCGAGGGCTCCTCCAGCGGGGCCGCGGCCAGGCCAGCGGTGGTGCCCAGACACCGTGCAGTGCCGGAGGGGGCAGCAGCTGCCTGCGCTGCCCTTGCAACCGCCCGCTCTGCTCTCCCCACGCCCAGGACGGCGAGGTCATCGGCATCAATACCCTCAAGGTCACAGCCGGCATCTCCTTCGCCATCCCCTCGGACCGCATCACGCAGTTCCTCACGGAATTCCAGGACAAGCAAGTCAAAGGTAGCGCGCGCCCCGGGGCGGGCTGAGGCCAGGGACAGGGCGCCAGGGCTTGGGCCTCCCGTGCCCCGCGGCGCCGGCCCGTCCTTCGGTGCCGCGTGCCCTTGCTCGCCGCTGGGCCTCCGTCTCCCTCAGGTCTTCCTCCCCCTTCTCACGCCATGGCTGCGTTCCCTGTCGGCCCCTCTAGGCAGGCTGGGGGTCTCTGACCTCAGCTCCCACCTCCAGCTGCTTGAGCTCCTGGGCTCCCTGTGTCCGCACTTCTTAGTTGTCAGAGCCTAGTCCGTCCTTCCTTCTTCCTTCCTTCCTTCTTCCTTCCTTCCTTCCTTCTTCCTTCCTTCCTGCCTTTCTTCCTCCTTCCTTTCCTTCCTCCTTCCTTCCTTCCCCCCATCCCTCCCTCCTTCTACCCATCCATCCACCCACCTATCCATCCATCCATCCACCTATTCATCCATCCATCCACCTAGCCATCTGTCCATCCACCTAGCCATCCATCCATCCACGTATCCATCCGTCCACCCACCCATCCACCCATCCACCCATCCCGCCTATCCGCCCTTCCTACCGTCCATCTGACCATCCCCAAGTACTTCTCCCTGCCCTCTGGCTGTGCAGCCTGCCAGGTAGGGCAACCGATACTGCAGGAGCGTGGAGCCCAAGCCCCTGATCCTTGGAAGTCACCCTCCTCTCAGCCTCCACCTTGTCACCCTGCCCGCCCAGGGATGCCCAGCCTGCCCTGCCCACTCAGTATGGACACGAGCACCCACCTGGGAGAGGCCTGGGCGGGCGCAGGAGACCCCCCCCCAGTGAGGGCGTGCCACTGTGCAGATGAGGGGAACGCTTCTGGTCTCGGGGCCTTTCCTGGTGCCCTCTCCTTCCCGCCTTTCTTTCCAGACCAAGTGAGCTTCCCTCTCCTGCCGTTTTGTCTCCACGGCCACGTCCTGGCCTGCCCGGCCCACCCCCCGCTCGGCCAACACGCGCACCCTCACGTGGCTCCCCTGTCTCCTCCCAGCCCTCTCAGCAGCAGCTCACTGAGAGCAGGGGGCTCCCGCATGCTTTCCCCCCACCCCTCCGCCGGCCACGCACGCAGCGCCGGTACAGCCGGGACCGGCGCCGTGAGGACTGGTCACGTGAAGAACTGCTGTTGAGGAGCCCGTGTGGCCATCGGGGCCCCTTATGTGAAGATGGTCTGGCGCCAGGGCAGAGCCAGAAGCTGAAGGCTTCTGTTGGCCCGAGGCACCCTCTGACCCCCGGGCCCTCTCCCCTTGGCAGCTCAGAAGCTCCGAACATGACCCAGGGCCGCACCTCTGTCGCCATCCAGCCACCCATCCACCTGTCCACCTCGTTCTGGTGAACCGTCTGCTGATGCCCAGTAGCCTTGGTTCTCTCTGTAGGAACTAAGCCTCCCTGTGGAATTGCCTGCTGCTCCGGGGGTGCCTTTGACCGGGGCCGCCTTCCAGAGGCCGGCAGGGCTGCACTTTGCACAGCACGGGTGGGGAGGTCCCCGTTGCGTGAGACGTGGGACGGCAGCGTCCTCTCTCTTCTTGCCTCTGCCTCCTTGTCTCTCTTGGGCAGGACCCGCCGGGGCCGGGCTCGCCCCTCCGTTGCACGGGGCCTGGCTCAGTCAGTGTTGACCTCCACCCAGAGCCCCCGGAAATCTCAGCCCCGTCCGCAGGGCCGTCCCCCCTCCCAGGACAAGTGGGCTGGTGCAGGGCCCAATAAGTCTGAGCCGAATGGCCGAATCTATAATTTAAAATCCTCTGGTGTTCACGTTCGCTTTTTCTAAAAATAAAAATGTTAAATTATCTAAATCCATTCAAAGTTCTTTAAAACAAACCTTTTAAATAGGTCAAGGAGATGTTAGTTAAGGCTCATCTCTTGTTCCTGCCCGGGGTCAGGGTGCACGGGTCCCTGAGGGGCTTCCCAGGTCAGAGGGAGCACCGAGCTGGCCGGGGAGCTGCAGCGCTGCCCGGGTCTGGGGCCCCAGCAGCGTCTGGGGGTTCAGCTGGCCCTAGGACCGGGGCGTTTGAGCCCACGGAACTGGATGGAGAGGGGTGTCTGCCCTCGGTGACCGTGGGGACAGCTCCTCGGGGTCATCCCCAGCCTGGGGAGGGGAACCCCCTACGTCTCTGATGAGGCTGGTCCTGGTGACCAGGAGTTGGGAGGGGGCTGCAGGGAATCATGGGGGAAGGGGCTCAAACGCACATTCCCGGGTCCCAGGGCCACACGTGTCAGAGCCCCGATCCGTCCCAAGCAGAGGAGGAGGCCGAGGAGGCGGAAGCAGGGGGGGGGCGGGGCGGGGGCCCTGTCCTGGGGCCCGGCGGCCCGGTGCTCGGTGGGGGCTCCGCCCACGGCTGCCTCTTTCGAAGCGTGAAGCGTGACCTCGGTGTGAGAGCGAAGCTGCCCCAGGGCCAGTCCCCTGCTGGAAGCAGGAGGGCGGGCCGAGGGCTCCACCCCAGGCCTGTCCCCTTCCCTCTGAGGACCATCCAGTGTTGTGCGTATAAATGCCCTCTAGACAGTGACTGCCCTGGCCCAAAATGCCCGTTTCCAGCCGGGCTCCCTCCCCGGCTCCAGAAAGGGATGTGTGTACCTGTTTGTGGACGTCTCCACTCCAGGGGCGCCTGTCGCTGACCCCCTTCTCAGTCGCCACTCTGTCCTCCCGCACCTCCCACACCGGCACCCATCCCCGCCCGCCCGCCCGCCGCTGCCCCCCGCCTGCCGTGCAGTCCGGCCTCCCCTGCAGACCCGCCCCCGCCCCGCGCGCCTCGCCGGCTAAGGCGGAGGCCTGTCAGGTCTCTGCGGGGTCCCCTCCGGGCGGGCTCCACCTCACCGGGTGGGCGCCCCAGGCCGCCCCTGGCGCAGGCCCCCACCAGGCCCCGCCCTCCCTGACCCCATCGCCCCACCCCGGGCTCCATCCATGATGCTGGCGAGCCGTCTGTTTAAACAGTTTGTCCATGTAAAAAATCAGAGTTGTTGGCATTCTTACGAGGCTTTGAGAGTTCTTCAGACATCCTGGATAGGGACCCCTCACCAGATACATGGCAGCAAATGTTTCCTCTGGTCTGCGGCTTGTCTTCTCATTCTCTCGGCTGTTTTTAAAGAGCAGACGTTTGGTGGATGTGGCTCAAGTCTAATTTATCACGTTTTTAAATGGACCAGGCACTCGGCGTTGTGTCTAGGAAATCAGTGCCGCCTGAAGGTCAGAAGCCCTTCCCCTTTGTTCTCCTGGGAGTTTTACTCTCTGAGGTTTTCCATTCAGAGCTATGGTGCCTTTTGAATTAAATGTTTAAAAATAGTGCAAAGTCCAGATCAACTTTTTTTTTCCTTTTTTTTTTTTTTTTTTTTGCTTTGGGTAGCCAGTTGTTCCAGCGCCATCTGTTGAAGAGATTATCCTTTCCCCACCGAACTGCCTGTGCGACTCGGTCAGCAGTCGGATGTGTCTGCCCCGTGCCAGGTGTCTGCCTGCCCCCCCCCCACCGGCTGTTGGGCTGCGCTGGCAGCGGTGGCCTTATAATCAGCCCTACGTCAGGCCGGGTCGGTGCCACTGCGCGCTTCTCCAGAGCACGTTTGTTCTGACCCTGTGGTTTCCACATGCCTTTCAGAATCAGCCCGTCAATTTCCACCCCAACCCCCACTGACAGTTTGATTGGGCGTGTGTTGAATTTATAGGCAGTTTGGGGAGAACTGGCACTTTGACAATATTGCATCTCCTGGCCCAGAAGCACAGTCTGCCTTCCCATGATTTCTGTCTCCTTTGGTTTCTCTCCGTGACGTTTCCTAGCTCTCTGTGCGCGGGCCTTACGCACTGCGCACTGGCTTTATTCCGAGATGTTTCCGAGTTTTGAGGCTGTAATAAACGGTATATTCCTTCATGTTTCAATTTCTGATTGTCTGTCACTAGAATACACAAATAAAATTGTTTTTTGTATGTTGATCACAAGAGATCCTGCCACCGTGCTAACTCATTCGAGCAGCTTTTCGTAGATTCCACCACTTGGCTACATAAACGATTGTTTGGTCTGTGAATAAAGACAGTTTTACTTCTTCCTGTCCCATCTGAATGCCTGCTGATTTTTTTTTTTTTTAATTGCATAGCACCTTCCCGTAAAATACTGGAAACAGCACTGAGAGGCAACATCCGTGCCTCGTTCCTCACCTTGGGGAGACATCTCCAGTCCCTCATCGAGTGCAACATTAATGAAGGTTTTGCACAGACGTCTTTCCTCGGGTTGGAAAAGTTCCCCTCTGTTTCTAGCTTTTGTTAGGAGTAGATGTTAGGTTTTGTTCCACATCTTCTGAGAGGATGGTTTTCATGTTCGGACTGTTAATGTGGACGCTGCACCGGTTGATCTTTGAGGCTTAAGCCATCCTTGCTTTCCTGGGGCAGACCCCACTTACTCCTGATGGATTCTCCTGTTTTACATTGTTGCATTCGATTTGCTGAAGACGCGTAGTAAAGATTTGTCACAACTACCTCTAGCTTTCTTCCCCCGTTTTGGTGCAGGGGTCATGCGGCGAGGCTGCGTTTCGGAAGAGCTTGGCTCCCGGGCCCTCTGCTCTCAGAGAGGAGCCGCCGCGCTGCTCCTCTCCCAGCACCGCGTCACCGAATGGGGGGTCCGCACCCCACGCTGGGGTCCCGCAGCGTAACTCGGGTCTGGCGTGATCTAGCTGGGGCCGGTGTCAGACCCGCAGGGGGAGGGCTCAGTCTCTCAGGATGGGCCCTGGTCTTCCGGTGTCAGTCACAAGCCCAGGTGCTCCTCACTGACCGGCCCCCACGACTCCCTCCTGGACTCTGATCACGTCCTAGAGCAGCTCGCAGAACTCAGGAAAGCCGTGTACTTACTAGGTCACCTGTTCATTGTAAAAGGATGCAACTCGGGAACCACCCAATGGAAGAGCGGCGTAGGGCAGGGGAGGGCGCGAGCGCGCGGGGTGTCCGTGCTCCCCGGGGCCACGGCCCTCCCAACACCTCGCGTTCACCAACCCAAACCCGTCCTGGGGGCTCTAGGGAGGCCTTGTACACAGGTGTGATGGGTTAATAACTCGCTGGTCGCGGGTCGTTGGTGATTGTTTCATCCCCCGCCCCCTCTCCCCGCCCCAGAGGTCAGGGGGTGGGGCCGAACACTCCAACCCTCTCATCCCGGGGCTGCTTCCTCCAGCAACCGGCCCCCATGCTCTGGGGCTTCTCAAAAGTCGCCTCACCAACGTTAACTCAGACTCATCATGAATAACAGAAGCCCGTTAGTCCTTTATAGCCCTCGGGCCGTTCCAAGGGCCGGGGGCAGAGCAGCCCCAGTCGCCTAGGACATTACAAAAGCTTTCGACACTAGTAGGGGAGCTGTGGCCAAACCCCAAACTGTACCTTTCTTATTAGGAATCCCAATATCACAGGACTGGTCAGTCAGTTCCACTTTTCTGGAGGAGATTGTTTAGCATTGATGCCATTTCTTTCTCACACACTCAGTACAATTCTCTTGTGAGATTCTCTGGGCTTGCGGCTTCTCTGTGGGAAGGTTTTAACTATAATGTCAATGTCTTCAATAGATATAGGGCTAGTCATGTTGTCCTGAGTGAGCTTTGGTCCTTTGGAAATCTTAAGAGATCTCTACATTTTGTCTTAGTTGTCAACTTTATTGTTCATATTAGTCTCTTATCCTCTTAAGAGCTGCGGAATCTGCAGCAATGTCACCTTTTACGCTCCTGATATTGACGATTGCATCTTTTCTCTTTTTCTTGGCGGAAGGCCTATCAATTTTATTGATCATTGATCTCAAAGAATCAGCTTTTGGTTTTCACTTATTTTGTCTATTGTATTTCTGTTTCCTGTTTCGTTGATTTCTCCTTTTTATCATTTCCCCTCTTCGGCCTTCTTTGGGTTTCATCTGATCTTTTTTTTAACATGAAAGCTGAGGTCATTGACTTGAGACTTTCTTCTTTCCAAACTGCGGCATTTTTGTACTAGGATTTTCCTCTATGTACTGCTTTACCTACATCCCACAAATTCTGATAGGTTGTCTTTTCATTTTTACTTAATTTAAAACAATTTCTAATTCCCCTTTTGGTTCTTCTTCGAATATGGGTTATTTAGAAGTGTGTGATGAGTTGTTAGGAATCTTTCTATTACTGATTTCTCAGTTAATTCCATCGCGGTCAGAGGGCATACTTTTATAATACGGAATTTTAAACATACGTTGAGGTTTGTCTTCTGGTTCTGAATATGTCAATGTAACTTCCGGCCCAGGACCCCAGCCACGTCACAGGCTGGGCAGCGGGGGACGGCGGGGACCGCTCCGCGGGCTGTGTGTGCGATGCCCCGACCAGAGGGCCCGGCACACAGTCGGGGCCCCTTAACACTGTTATCTGAGGGGGCAGGAGAGCCGACAGGTTCAGATCTGAGCAGGGCAAGTTTGGGGCACCTGCGGGAAGGAGGTCGGAGGGGAGAACGCAGCTGGCCCCTGGGGGTTGGGCGTGGAGCTCAGAGGGAGAGCAGATGTCGGAGCCGATGTGGTTGGATGGCGCGGGTGGCGTGAAGCCACCAGCCTGAGCCAGGACATCTCCCAGCCTCAGAGTAGCTGAGAGGAGAGAAGCAGCCCTGGCTGCCTGCGCCCCGGGGGGCCGGCTGACCCCAGCAGGACCCGTCTGCTGCCCCCTGCGCCTGGGGGGACTCCTGCCCCCGGCCACTCTGCCCGCCCCCTCGGCGGCTCTAACCGAGCCCTGCCGTGCTCTCTTTCCAGACTGGAAGAAGCGCTTCATCGGCATACGGATGAGGACCATCACGCCCAGGTGAGTGTGAGCCGCTCCGCCCTGCTGCACCTCGGGGCCCCAGATGCTGTCCGGCCACGTCCGGCCACCCACAGGCGCCCCAGTGGGCCTGACACACTCAGGCCCTGGGCCTCGTGGGCCTCGGCCGGTCCCCCTGGGTGCGGTGGGCGCCATTGGCTCCCGCAGGCCTCATTTAGGTGCCCCCTCTGGAAAGCCTCTGAGGTCTAGATTCCTGGGGCCGCCGCAGCAGATTCCCCCGCACCTGGCTTAAAACCACAGAACACGCCTTTTCTCTCAGTTCCGAAAGCCTGAAGGTCAAAATCGAGGCACTGGCAGCTCTGGGCTCCCCCGAGGCTCCTGGGGAGCCTCTCCCAGCTCCGGGTGGCTGTTGGGGTTCCCAGGGTTGTGGCTGCGTCACCCCCATCTCTGCCTATGGCTTCGCACGGCCTTCTTCGCCCCCTGTGTGTCCGCTTCCAAACACCCCTCTTCTGTCTCTCAGAAAAACACCAGCCATTGGATTAGTGCCCACCCTAAGCTGGGATGGTCTCACTTGGGAATCCTCAACCAATCACATCTGCAAGGGCCCTATGTCCAACCGGGTCACGTTTAAAGGCTCCGGGTGGAGTAACTTTAGGGACACCGTTCTCCGCACACAGGCTGCTCAGGCAGGAACAGGGGCCTCCCGTGAGCGGGCGGAGCCGTGCCGCATCCCCCCCCCCCGGCATTGCGTTGGTCCCACGGGGCTGGGGTGGCCTGTTTGTGGCCCCCCGCCCGCCGTGCCCGTGAGCCCCTTGAGAGCGAGGACTGTGGCCCGCGCAGCCCGGGGCCTGCGGCGGAGTGGGCGCCTGGAAACCCCGAAGGAGGGAAATAAAGAAGGGACACGGCAGGAAGAGAGCCCGGGAGGGAGGGGAACATGCAGGTCCAGGAGCTGGAGAAGAAGGGGCCACCGTGGTGGGGGCTCTGGGAGAGCTGAGGCGAGCTCAGCGACGACCCCTCAAACCCGTGCAGAGCCGGAAACGCCTGTTCTGCCTATTTCAGCAGCTGCTAGTCTAGGGACTAAATCTGAAGGCAGTTCGTAACCCAGGCCAACGTGCCAACTTCCTTTTTGTATGAGTTCTTCCTTTCTCTCTCTTTCGTCCACCCATCCATCTATCCATCCGTCCATCCATCACGCCATCTGTCCAGTCCTCTTTCTGTCCGTTCCATGACTCACCCATTGTTTGTCCACCCCTGCTCCCATCTATCCACTTATCTTTCCTCTCTCCCTCCCTCCCTGCCTCCCTGCCTCCTACCCGCCCGCCCGCCCCCCCATCCGCTGACCATCCATCCTCCCGCTCCGCCTCCCTTCTACCCACCACCCCCCTCTCCCCACACGCCTAACCACGCCCCTTCAGTAAGGCCTCTCTTGAGGAGCCCATGTGGAGTGGGGGTCGCAGGTGAGCCAACGGCAAGGCGGAGTGGGCAGTGGCAGGAGCGGGCAGTGTGGGGGCCCCGGAGGCTCCGCGTCGGGCCGGGGGGTGCGCGAGGAGGGGCCGCTCTGCGCCTTTGGAGCCTCCGAGGAAGGACCTAACAGCGGGCTGTCGTTCCAGTTTGGTGGAAGAACTGAAAGCCAACAACCCGGACTTCCCGGAAGTTAGCAGTGGGATTTACGTGCAGGAGGTCACTCCAAATTCACCTTCTCAGAGGTGGGCTCCGCCGGGGGGAGCGGGGAGGCCGCGCGGGAGACGGCCGGACACCCTGGTGGGCACGGGGCCTGCGTCGCTGACCTGGGGCTCCCTGGCAAGATGGGGTGTGGGGAGTGGCCGGCGGGGCTCTGGCCTGTCCTGGGAGCCGGGGGCAGGCTGGAGAGAGGGCCTGTCCCGTAGAGCATTGGCCACGCCCTGCCGTGGCTTGCATGTCATCTATCCTCAGGGGACACAGCAGTGGAGCCCCCCACACCGCCCACACCCCCCGCACTGAGGACCAGCCTGACTCCCCTTAGCCCAGAGGCGGGCCCAGGCTCTCTGTTCTCTCCTCCACCAAACGGGCCCGCCTCAGCCTGCCCGCTCTGCCCCAGGGCCCAGCGCGGCACGGCGCCGGAGGGAGGCTCGCTGCGGCAGCAGCACCAGCAGAGGCGGACGGGCAGCGACGTCTCTGCACACTGGTGGATGCTCCGGCCCCCGGGGGGCTCTGAGCGAGCCCCTTGCCCGCCTTCAGCTGCGCCCTCCATCGGGGGCGTCAGTGGGTGGCATCGGCCCCTCGGCCCCACGCCTCCTTTCCGGGAGCTGGCGGCGGTCTGCACTGGGGGCTGGGGTGTTTGCGGGGGATGGGCGTGGAGGGGGGCCAGGCGGGCAGGCCGCCTCCTCCGCGGCCCCTCATCCCAGCAGGGCCCCCGCTGGTTTCACGCCCTGTGCTGCTCCGGGAGGCCCCTCGCGTCCTTCTGTGGTGGACACGGGAGCGCTCGGGCCCGGCCGGTTGCACAGATCCAGGAGGCCTGCGGGTGACTGCGCCCACCCCCAGCGCCGGCTCTTTACTCAGGGCTGCTGTGCCCCGCTGAGCTCAGCCAGGCAGTTACGGAGGGCGGCCACGTGCCGGGCACCCCCAGGGCTAGGGAGCGGGGTCGGCGCTGACCGTGACCGCTGATGACTGAGGCTGCGTCATCTTGGTCACGCCTCACGGCCGCCCAGGACGCACAAGGTACTGCTCTCATGTCACGTCACACATAGGGACACGGAGGCTCAGAGAAGTTAGCCCTCGCTGGCCACGCTGCTGGCCCCCGTGGCTGGTGGCACTGCTGGCCTGACATCGAACCACCGTGCCAGCCTTCCTGCCAGCCTTCCGCCCGGGGGGTGGGCAAGGCCACAGCCAGTTGGGAGCAGAGGGAGCCCAGCCCGGCACATTCTGCCTCCTCTGCCGAGGCCTCAGCAACGGTGACAGCTTTGAGAGCGACTCCCTGGGCCTCGTGCCGTTTGCAGAGCATGTTCCCACGCAGGACTGCGAGCGTAGAAACTGAGGCTCGGGGGCCAGCGCACCGGGCTCGAGGCAGGCCAGCCAGGCGGGCCGCAGCCGGGACTTGAAGCTGCCCCTCTGAGGGAGGGAAGGAGTAGACGTGTCTGCCCTTCGTCTGAGGCGCAAGCCATGCCGTCGGGCCCCGGCCTGGCCTGTTCATTGCAAGGACTTCCTTAAGCCGGTGTTGGGAAACCCCATGGTGCCCAGGCGGGGCCTGAGCCCCGCGGTGGCGCGCAGTGACCATGTTTCTCTCCTGTCGGCAGAGGGGGCATCCAAGACGGCGACATCATTGTCAAGGTCAATGGGCGTCCGCTGACAGACTCGAGTGAGCTGCAGGAGGCCGTGCTGACCGAGTCCCCGCTGCTGCTGGAGGTGCGGCGGGGGAACGATGACCTCCTCTTCAATATTGCACCCGAGGTGGTCCTGTGAAGCTGAGGCCCCTCCGCACCGCCGAGCGTGGAGCCTGCGGCCGAAGACAGGTGCCAGCGAGGGGCTCCGTTAGGAGCCAGCGCCTCGATGGGGCCAGGACGAGGGACCGAGGTCGGTCCTCAGCAGAGCCAGCGGCCTCCTCCCACCCCCGCTCCGGGGACAGAGCCACAGGCTGGGCGTGGCCAGGGGTCCAAATCTCAGCCTCAGGAAGTGTCAGCTCCCACACCATGGTGCCCATGGGGGCAGCTCCATGTCCCCTGCGTAAACACCTTCCAAGAGCCACCTTCCAAGTGCTCGGGATAATGTACGATCCCAGTACTTGGGAAGGCGCCTGTAGCCCCCAGAAGTCCTCTCTCCCACCCTCCCGCCTGCGCACCTCATACCTCCGTCTGGCCCGAGCACCCTGCTCCCAAGACTTCCTGGCTCGGCAGGCCTGGCCTGGAGCAGGCGCCGAAGGGACATCCCCTGGCTGCCCAGCAGAGCCCTGTGGCTGGCGGTGAGCTCCTCTTCCCTCGGGGAGAAAAGCTGGCAGGAGCCTCATGGGCCAACACTGTCTGGAAGATTGCTTGTCCTCCTGGAGGTGACCTGGAGCGGTGGGCAGAATCGGCGGGGCCCTGCGGGGCGGGCTGCCTGGATGGAGCCCAGGAGCAGCAGCAGCGGCAGGAGGCACCCGCTCCGGCTCCGGGCGTATCTGTGAGCTTCGCTGTGCCATCGACCCCCACGTGGCTTGTATTGTGTTTCTCTACTGTATGAAAATTAAAGTTTACAAGCACATGGTCCTTAGCCAGCAGGGGCATTTGGGGCACCCACCCCGCCGGTCCCAGCTTCTCCGGGGACCCAGAGCCAGCATGGGCAGGCGCGGGTGCTACCTGGCCCTCGAGTCCCTGTGCCCTCAGTGTCTCCCCGGTACGGGGGGTGGGGGGGACGGAGTCCGCTGAGCTGGGGCAGGCGCGCAGAGCGCTGGGCAAGGCGCGTGCCTGACGACAAGTCCCCGCTCTGCGGTGTGCGCCGCGGGTGACGAAGCTGTCCCTGCATCGGCTCTGGGCCACCCTCACCCAGAACCACCCAGGGGTAGGAAATGAGGTGGAAATGAGGCAAAGCAGGGGCTGGGGTGGGGGGTGGAGCGAACTGCAGAATTTCCCGCCTGGGGTTCGGCAGGTCCAGGTTTAAAGGACCCACCGTGGGGCTAATCTCGGGAGATGGACTCAGAAGGCCGTGGCGGTGGCCAGGGCCCCGTGTGCCACCTCAGGGAGACCCGAGGGAGGTCCCTGGGGACACGGGGCACGGCCACTGCGTGCACTGCAGCCGGCCAGGTGGGGAAAGCGGACCGAGAGCACCCTCACAGGGCCAGGGACTGTCGCAGAGCAGCCCAGCGTGGGCCGTCCTCAGGCTCAGAGTGTCCGGGGAGCAGAGCGCCCCTCCCCCACCCAGGCTGCACGGGCCCTGCTGGGGAGGGAGGGGCTGGACACAGAGGCGGCCTTGCAAGGCACCTTCCAACCCTCACCAGGCCGCAGTGCCTGCCTCCCGCTGGCCAGCCTGCCCCCCGACCCCCTTTGCCAGCATCTTCTGGAAACGTCGGGGCCTGGCCCGGAGCCTGGTCCCACCCCCGTGGTGGGGCTGCCGCTGGCCTGGCTCACTCTCATCCCCTCATCCCACCGACAGGCCGTGTGCCGTCCCGAGCCCCCCGCCTCTGCCCCCGCCCGCCACCTCCCGTCGAGAACAGTGTGATGCTCAAAGTCCACCCACCTCCGGACCTCTGCTCTCAGTCCCAGCGGGCAGGCTGTCTGCCTTCCCCACAGGCAGCGGCCACGTGTCCGTCTCTGGCCTCCTCGGCCAGGTGCCCGGAGGCCACGGGGCCCCACCCGAGAGGAGGGAGCCTGGGATGCTGGGGCAGGGGCTCAGGCAAGGCCGGCGTGGACATGGGCTGGGGAGAGGGCAAGCTGGGGGCAGGGCATCGAGGGCCCAGCCATGAACTTGCCCCGAGCCAGGCCCCTGATGGGGGTCTGCAAGTCCAAGGTCAAGGTGGGGCCCGTGCTCATGGCCCCCACTGCCGGGGGCGCGAGAGCCAGCAGCGTGGCTTCTCATAGGGACAGTGATCTCATCACGAAGACCCCACCCTCATCTGACCCGCCCACCTCCCAGAAGCCCCAGCTCCATAAGCCATCACGCTGGGGGCTGGGGCTTCCGCGTGTGGACTGGGGTGGGGGCAGTATTCAGCCCCTAGCAGCGAGGCAGGGAGGAGGGAGAAGCCAACTGAGGGGCCTGGCGTGGAGCCGGCAGCCTCTGGGGCAGCGGCGGAAGCCGGCGGCCCTCCGAGGAGCTGGGTGTGCAGCCGGGACGCCAGCCCGAGGCCTGGCAACGGGCGCGTTCATGCACGCACCTGCTCCCGACTCTCGGCCTCCCCGGGTCCGCGGGGCTGGGGAGAACCCCCGGCCTGCAGGGAAGAGGGACCCAGGCTCAGAGGCCGCGCTGCAGGAGCCCAGAACTGTCCCTCGCAGCTGCAGGGGCTGGGGGATGTGGCAGGGCCGCCACAGCCCCTGCTGCCGGGGTCTTGAGAGACAAAGAGCAGAGACACCCGGAGGCCCAGCGCCTGCCCAGGGAGCGACCATCGCACATTCGCCTGGCTCCGCCTCTGGGCACTTCACTTCCCTGGACCTTCTTCGCCCTGAGATCTGGAGCGGGGACACCGTTGGGGGGGTGGGGGCAATTCAGGGGGGATAAGGAGGGGCCCCGGCTGAGACCCGCGCTCTCTAAAGGGCAGGAAGGTGCACGCTGAATTAAATGGCCGTGACTCCGGGGCCGGCCCCCACGTGCCAAAACATCCTGTCCTCGCGCTCCCTGTCACCCGCCCCCTGGTGGCCGCTGTCATTGCTCCCTGGCCTCAGGTTGCCCACCTAGGAAACCAGAGGTGGGACATGGGGGTGTCTGAGCCCGGGAGCGAGTGGGCCCGGGCGGTGGCCCCTGCTGGCGGGCCCCGTCGGGGCGCGGTGCTGTCTTCTGTACCCAGAGAGCCCAGAGGTCGCCCAGGGGGAGGGGCCCTCGCCAGCAGCGGGCACCGGCGTGGTGGGCCTGGGCTCTGCGGGGTTCAAGGCCTGTCCTTGCCCAGCCACAGGCGCTGAGCGCCCCGCCCCTCCCCCGCGGTGGCGCTGACCTCCCAGCTGCTCCCCCAGCTGTGCTCGGTGGAAAACAACTTTTTCAGAGCCAGCCAGCTGCCACCGTTGCACAATCCTGGAGCCTTTAACACGACCCCCACCCACCCCACGCCACCCCACCCCGTAGCTGGGCTCCCCGCCACCCACTGCCCCGCCTGTCCTGGGAGCTGCAACGGAGTGCTGACGAGGCAGTGCCTGCAAGGGGGAGCGCCCGCTGCAGCCTCAGGGTCCCCCCATGGGCCCTGGAACCCGACAAGGACGGGGCCCGGAAGGAGCGTCCAGGTCCCCGCGTCCAAAGCCCCACTGGGCAGAGGCGGCGGCCAGCCGGGGAGGACTGGGGGACCCGTGAGCTGGTGGCAGGCCTCCCAGAGAGCAGGGCTGGGCCGGTCGCACAGCTGTGGCGGCCGCAGCTGCAGGGCGCAAACATCCGCTGCCGTGGGGCTGGGGCGGGCCCGGAGCTCAGAACGGGTCACGACCCCCGGGGATGAGTGGCTTCAGACCACAGTGACCAAAGATGGAAATTCCGGAGTGGGCCGGCTTTGAGGGGCGCGGCCCAGGCGCTGGCTCTGGTCCCCCGGCCTGGAGCAGTGCTGGGGGGCCGGGGTTGCAGGCCCTCCCGCCGCACCTGCCCAGCTCTGCGCCCATCCGTCCATCCGGGTGCCCTGCCTGTCGTCACTCCCTGCTCTCCACCCTGCCGGCGGCAGGTTGTCCTCGGCCCCCGCCCCCGCCCCCTGCAGCCCCACACCCCCCCCCCATTCCACGCAGCCCCGGAGCTGCCCTGCTCCCGCCCGGGCACCAGGCTCTCCTCCCCACTCCCCTCTTCGGCCCCCACCTCTGCGCAAGCCGCTCCCTCCACCTGGCCCCGCCGCACCTGCTTCAGTCCCACTACCACGTTCTCTGCGGCCGGCCGGGCTGAAAAACGGCCCCAAACGTGTCCCCATCATGACCCCCAGAACCTGGCACCGTCGCCTCACACGATCAAAGGGACCCTGCCGCTGGCATCAGGTGAACGGTCCTGAGACGGGAGGTCACCCTGGGCTCCCCACGCGGCCCCGTGGGCCCGCAGGGTCCTTGTCAGCGGGGGGCGGTGGGGGGTGGGGTGGGAGGAGCTGTGACTGGAAAACCGCAGGGGCTTCTGGAGGCTGAGAAGGGCTGTTCTCGTCCTGGAGCTTTTGTTAGTTACTTGCACTTAGACGCGCAACCCAGCTGGGACTGACCTTCGCCGAGGGCGTGAAGGAGGGACTGGTCTCACCGTTCGGACGGGTGGGAGTCTGGTTGTCCCCTGAACCATTTATGGGAAAGGCAGTTCCTTCCCCTTTGTCACGATCCGCGCTCCCAGGCCTGCGCGTGTCTGACTCTGGGCCCCTCTGTCCTGGCCTCTTGGTCTCTGTCTTTGCCCAGCGCCACCCGGTCTTCACGACGCAGCTTTACGGTATCTTTTGTTAGTTCGTACCATGAAACCACCCACGTCACACGCTGCCCGCGAGGGCGCCTCGTGAATGGGTCCCAACTCTGCTTTTCTGTCTGTGTTTTAGAATCCGTTTATCAAGCCCCACTTCTCATGAATCTGGTTGGAAGGGGTTGGTCCATAGATGGGTTTTGAGAGAGGCGCCCTATTTATGATGTCCAGGTTCCCAGCGCATGAACCTAGTATTCCCCCACTTCCCTCGGTTTTTGTTCATTTCTCCAGTAATGTTCCATAGTTTTTGTGTAGATAGCTTATATTTTATACTGGAAACAGTAACCTTTAAATATTTTTTATTTTTTAACTATTGCTGATAGTTCTTAATTTTTAATGGTTTTTTAATACTGACCTTGTATCTGGCAACCTTCCAAAGTCCCTTGTTAATTCTAATACTGTACCGACAGAGACTTTTGGATTTTCTACATAATCAATCACATCATCTGTAAGTAGTGAGTTTTATTTCTTCCCTTCCAATCTTAATACTTTTTCCTTTTCCTTGTCTTGTTGCATGGGCTCAAACCTCTTGTTCAGTGGCGTATATAATTAACAATAACATCTTATTCTTGTTTCTGACCTCAAAAGGGAAGTTTTCCACACCTCCCTATTAAATAAAACACTTGATGTAGGTTTTTCATCATTACTCTTTATTGGCTTAAGAAAGTTCCCTTTTTATCCTAGTTTTCCAAGCATTTTTATTATGGATGAATACTGAATTTTAACAGGAACGTTTCCTGCTTTTACTGTAATAATCGATTATTTCCTCCTAGGGTAAAATCCCTTGATGTTGAAATATTCTATCGACTTGCATTTCTGGACAAAACCTAATTTGACTCTGATGTAGTATCTTATTTAAATATTTCTGTTAGTATCTGGCTTGAGGTTTTGGTGTTTGTAGGTGTAACGGGTCTCTAATTTTCCTAGAGTTTGCGCTGGAGGTTGCTCGCGGCCTCTCCTGGCCTCGCTCTAAGACGTGGGCATTGCTGATGCTTCTCCCGCTCCCCAGGAAAGTCTGTGCAGGACTCTCCTGGGAGATCCTGTGCA